TTCATCTAAAAATAAAAAAAAAAAATCTGGAGAGCTTAATAAATTGGGCACAAGGAAATCAACAGACCTATAAATTAGACTGAACCATAGGAAAGAGCTAACGTTTAGATTTTTTTGACTGTTAAAAATGGAAATTTCCCATAGTTGAGCCTAATCTAAAAAGGAACTAGGTCTCAATCATAGCCAGGGAAATGCAAATCAAACGCCAATAAGATCGCACTCTGCACCCACCCTGCTGGCAACATGAAAGAGCAGACATCACCAAGTGTTGGTGAGGACATGGAGCACCAGGAGTGCCATGTGCTGCTGGTGCATGTGTCCACTGTAGGACAGAGAACATTCTGGCCGGATCTAGTTTAGCTGACTAATGCAAATTCTACGATCCAGAAACTCCTTTTCTGGGTTTACACCCTGGAGAAATCCTTGCCCAGGCGCCCAGCAGACATGTCTAAGAGAAGGCGTGGTGGCAGTGTGTGAAAGAGCTGTATACGGGACACTTCCAAATGCCCAACAGCAGGCAGACAAATAAATCATGTCAGACAATATTAATATGGAATATTAAACAGCAATGAAAAATCTGGTCATCACTTCCCACAACAACACATGGTAACTTATGACATAATGTGAAGTGAAAAAGGAGCAATGCGGAATTATTCCATTTGTTTTAAAGTTAGAGCAGAGTCCCTGGGTGGTGCAAACTGTTAATGTGTTCAGCTGCCAATCGAAAAGTTGGAGGTTTGAGTCTACCCAGTGGAACCCTGGAAGAAAGGCCTGGTGATGTACCAAAAAAATCAGTCATTGAAAACCTTATGGAGCACAGTTTTACTCTGACACGTGGGGTTGCCATGAGTCAGAGTCAACTTGATAGCAACTGGCTTTGTTTTGTTTTTTAAGTTAGAAAAAGGCAAAAAGAAATTCTAGTGTGTAGAGATGCACGCGTAGTGGGAAAATTAGAAAGAAAAGCTAAGAAATGCTCAACTCAGAACTGTGGGGGTTGTGTCTACCTCTTCGGGTGGGTTTCTCCACTGCGCACTATTGACATGGGGGCTGGATCATTCTTTGGGTGAGGCCGTCCTGTGCACTGTAGGGTGCTGAGCTGCATCCCTGACCTTGACTCCCACTAGATGCCAGTAGCACCACCTTCTCTCCCCCGGTGTAACACCCAAACATCTCCAAGCATTGCCCCAGGCTGAGAATCCAGCTTCAAAGGGAAGACGCGGGTGAGGCTGGGGAGGGGTACGTGATTGGGGGAGCTTTCTGTTCTACTTCTTGCCCTGGACAGTGGTTACACAGACGTGCGTGCTTGAAAATCATTGTTAATGGATTGTACGTGTTTTATGCACTCCTCAGAGGCACGTTCTATATTGCACTTAATAAAACACGCTGGGGAGAGGAACCTGGGTGTCAGTGGGCAGCAGAAAGGGGGCTGCGAGAGCCAAAGCTTTGCATACGCTTCGTGAGGCTCGTCCGCGCCCTGCCCGAGTTCCCCACGGCTTGGGAGCAGCAGCTGCCCTGTGGGCCACCCAGCCCTGTCCCCTCCTTGCCTGAGAAGGGACTTCTCCAACCTCCTAGTGTTCGCTGTGGGCAGGGGCTTTGCTGACCCCTCTTGTGATGCCCCCGGCCCAGGCCTGCTCCTGGAGGCCCCTGGGGGAAACCAGGCAGCAGGTAATAACCAAGCCCACCATGAGGCCCAGTCCTGCCCGGCACCAGCTTCCTCTGGGTGCTGAGCTCTAATTATTTCCGTCCCTCTCCCTCGACAGGTTCTGAGGGGGCCTACGGGCCTACGGAGGAAGGGAAAATGCAAGGTCAGCTGTGGTGGGCAGGTGGGCCGGCCCTGATTTATGGGGTTCGTCAGCCTTGCCAGGCTCTTAACCTACTTAGCGGGTGGCAGAGCCTCGCGTCCGCAGGGAAAATGCACCTTTGGCTCTGGGCAGGGAGGGAGCGAAGGCAAGGGAGATGGAGAAGGAGGCACCACTGTTCCACCCCTGCTAGGGCTGGGGTCAGGCCCCTAACCCACTCACCATGGGCAAGGCCTGTCCCTGCCTGTCTGTGCCTCGGTTTCCCCTCTAGAACACACGCACTCATTCCATGTGGCAGAAGCGAAGGAGTCGAAGCAGCCCAGCTCCCGGCATACAGTACTTGCCCAGTAAGTGGAGATGGTTGAGGGAAGCAGCAGGAGCTGGGTGGGGGCAGAGCTGTAATTCTTCTGTGTGACCCTGGACAGGCCACTTACCCTCCCTGTGCCTCAGTTTCCCCGTCTGACAAACAAGGACACCTGGGAGGTTTTTTGTGAGATACTGCATGCAAACTGCCCCCATCCCTGGGTTGTGCCTGGAATACAGTAGATGCTCAA